AGATCATTGGGTCTCTTTGTCTTTCTTCCAAGCAAACCACATTATTATTAAAAAAGTGTTCCAGCCAGGCTGCTGGAGCTCTGAGTGGTCCACATGTGCTGAGCTTGATGCTATCATCAAGGAATAATTGGGAATCTTTATGGCATTTACTTCCAAAAGCTTTTACAGTAATCGCTTCAAATGCAGTGATTGTGCTTATGTACTGCAACATCTCATACGTGGCCATGAGGTGAATGACCAAAATATTTGAAGGATTATTAGCCTGGACATTGGGAGAAACTCCCTTCTCTCTTTGATTAGTGCCATGGGGGCATAAACACCTACCCGAAGAACAAACATGATATAGTATTTAATCTCATCCTTAGGACTGGAACCCTGACAATGCTGCACCCCCCAATGCCATATTGTGTCAGTGTAGACTGTGAGCTCAAGTACTGGTGTGGGGCTTGAACCTGCAATCTCTTGACTCAGATTTGAAACTGTTACCAGCTGAGCCAAGATGATATATCCTTAGTATCTGTTTTTTTGGAGAACTAATCGCACTCTGACCAAAATCATGACTGAATCTAAAAGGAATCTTTTAAGGCATGTGAGCAATCCGGCTTTTCATTTCCGTTAAATGAATGTTTTAAATCTTGCAACGTCTCGCAAAGAAAGAAAAATAATAAAATTGGTCACTTCAATCCATGACTGTTTGTGCGCAATTGGCTGTTGCTTTTGGCCCACAAATATACAGTCAATTCACTTTACAGTATATTCTGTGAAGCGCATTGAGACGTCTCGAAGACGTGCTAAGGCGCTATATCAAATGCAAGGATGATTATTATTATTACAGAGCTATGACTACAAAAAAACATCACCAGTGATAATTATCAAATCCCCCCCCACCCAAATTGTTGCATTTTATATTGCGTCTTTCATGTCAGGCGGACATCTCAAAGTGTTTCACAGCATTTACTATAAATTGCAGTGACTGTGTATTTTGCAGGTGAAATGTGGCTGACTTGCGGCCCAACTTGAGGAGATGAGTACAATCAGTGTAGTTTGAGGAACATTCCCAGTAGTTTACTGGGTTTGTGTCCTGATGGTTCCCCCGATCCTTTCACCCTTTTGAACGGATAATACAATGAATGTTTGTATAGCACCAATGTCATGTCAGGAGGATTCTCAAAGCACCTAACACAGATGAATGGCACCCAAGGCAGTTGAGCGCTAAGAAGGCGCTGGGACATTACCCCACGTGAAGGGACTATACATGCAAGTTGTTGTTGTAAGGAGGGTATGGCGAGCGGGTGGTTGGGGTGGGGGACAGACGATGACTGAAAGTGTAGGTAACGAGGTCCCTAAAACGGGCTTTAAAATGGACACTTGCCTTGCAAGCGAGAGGACCTGGGTTTGATTCCCTGGGCAGGGCAAAACGTAAGACAAGTTTCCTTCCTTTACACACCTCTGTTTACAGAGTAATAAGTAGGAACCTGGTTGTTTGTTGATTGGTGCATCTCTTTTCTGGGAGTAATAATTCCTTCAAAAAAAAATTTGGTCACTCAATCCACGACTGTTTGTGGGACACTGCTGTGCGCAATTGGCTGCCGCGTTTCGCCCACAAAATATACAGTCAATTCACTTTACAGTATATTCTGTGAAGTGCTTTGAGACGTCTAATCACGTTTGAAGTGCTATATTAAATGCAAGGATTAGTATTATTATCTACCAGTTACCAGTTGAGTGCTTTCCCTCGGGAGTTTATGGCTCCAGATCACTGGCGAGATTCATCCCGGCTTGTACGGCCGACATGCTGCCCTGTCACTGGACCTGCCAAGGTCGCTGTTGATCTGAACCACAAGATGTTTCGGCAAAGAGGGGCCCCCATCAGGGGAGTACACTGCAGGATTCCACTAGACTGATTAAACCTGTTTTAAGAGACATAACTCTTTTGGGGCTTGTCACTCGCCAATCAATATAAAGTGTAATCCTTAAACATTCCTTTTTAAAAATAGGCTACGGAGTGTATTCCAACCTTTATTTGTGTTTTTCTAAATTACAACTTTTACAAATGCTATTTTTTCCACAGAACATGAAAACATTGCGGATTAAGTGTCCTGTTTCTTCGTAAGAGAATTTTGTTTTAGTGTATGTGTGTTTCTCTCTCCTTGAGGAGAACATCCCTTTAATTCATACCGATCCCATTCAATATAGATTTTCTTCTCTGGGCAATGGTTCCCCCGTGTCCTCCTCTCCAACTCCTGGAAACACCCAACCCTTTCTAGAAACATAGGCACAGGAGTAGGGCATTCAGCCCCTCAAACATGTTCTGCCATTCTATTAAATCATGGCTGATCTGTACATCAACTCTATTTACCCGCCTTTGCTCCATATTCCTTGATCCCCTGACCTAACATAAATCTATCCACCTTCAGTCTTGAAAGTTTGAGTTGATCGAGTATCCACAGCCTTTTGGGGGAGAGTTGCAGATTTCCACTACTCTTTGCGTGAAAAAATGCTTCCTGATTTCACTCTAATTGTAATATTATATCCATCCCCTTGTTCTGTATTCTCCAACCAGAGGAAATAATTTCTCTGTAACCTCCCTATTGAATCTCTTCATCATTTTAAACACCTCAGTTAGATCGCCCCTCAACCTTCTAAACTCTAGGGAATGCAGACCAAGTTCATGCAACCTGGCCTCAAAATGTAACCCTTTAAGCTCTTGTTGGTGAACCTGCGCTGTACCAGGGCCATTATATCTTTCCTGAGGTGCCATGCCTAAAACTGAACGCGGTACTACAGATGGGGTCTGACCAAGGTTCTGTACAATTAATAATGTGGGATAATGTGCCATGGAAGCCGTGCACTGAATATTGTGATGTGCTTTGTGGGCTGGAACATTGCCTGGTGTTTAAAGTGAACACAATAGATTCACGTTCATGTTCCACCTTTCACATTGGGAGATAAACCTCTCAAAATCTGTGACACTGATGGCGGGGCCCCTGAGTTGGAGGTGGTGAGGGCTAAGATGACCGAAAGCACAAAGAGGTACATCAGCACTCTGTGAAGCTATCCTGTGTGATGGGCACCATCTACATGTTGTATTGAGACTGGTTTTGAATGCATGAGGGAAGGTGCAAGTCAGAGGGACTCCTGAGGGATGGCATTCCAAAGAGCGGGGACAGAATGGTTTAAAGCAGTGGTGGCCAAACTTTATGGTTGGCCAAAAATATATATTTTCTTGATTGAATATGATTTATGCCATAGATCAAGAAATATTAAATCAAGAAACAAGTGAAAATAATACTGATCAAACATACACTCGTGCAAAGGTACGGGGTGGGATGGGGGGCCTTCTTGACAGCCCCATGGGCCACAGGTTGGCCATCACTGGTTGTAAAACCTGTCTGCCAATTGTGGGGAGGATAAGGCAGGGGACGTGAAGCAGGTTAGAATTTGCTGAACAATAGCGTAATTAGAATTTTTCTTGCATTTTATCTATTTCCTAAGGGGAAGGAAAATGTCACTTAAATTATGATGAATTACAAAGAGACAATTCTCCTATCTGATTGCACTATATGTTGAAACAATTAAATGTTTCAAAGGGAATTGGTTTCACCTGGAGTGACTGTAGTTATAGAGAAAGAAATGCCGTAATTATTTTCTGCATAAACACAACCGTGGAGTGAATAACCAACCAATCTAGAAGACTATTATACAAGAACACCTGAAGGAATTCCCTTCTGGTTTTAGATCGTGCCATAGGATCTTTAACATTCAGGAAGATGGACCCTTGGATTAATATCATAACTCAAAATGAATATCTTAACTGGAGGGTCATCTTTGACGTAAAGGGTGTAATCTCATCTCCTGACCCAGAGGTGAGCGTGCTGTGGACTGAGATAGATTACAGTTAAATTGGCTAATTGATTTGGAGTAAAATTCAGCTAATCCTGTAGCATAGTATTTAGTGTGCTCGCCTCACAAGCGAGAGGACCTGGGTTCGATTCCCAGGTGAGGCAAAACCTTGGGCAAGTTTCCTTACTCCATACTCCTCTGTTTACCTACAGTAAGTAGGAACCCGGTTGTCAGTCGATTGGTGGATCACTTTTCCGGGGGTAAAAATCCCTTCAAAATTAAATAAATAAAATAATTTTGGTCACTCAATCCACGACTGTTTGTAAGATATACTGTTGTGTGCAATTAGCTGCTGAATATCGCCTGTAAAATATACAGTTAATCCACTTTACAGGATATTCTGTGAAGCACTTTGAGAAGTTTCAACGACGTGATAAGGCGCTATATCAAATGCAAAGGTCATTATTAGTAGTAGTATCTCCCACTGTGCAATTTAGCCCAGGAATCAGTCTAAACTGTCTTGGTTCTGCATGAACATGAAATTTGTTTCTCTGCCTCTTTGCTGATAAATCGAAGTAAACCCTTATGCCTAACTGCATAAGGAAAATAAATAACATGTGGCAGAGTGTTTTGCAAGCCTGCCGGGAGTTCAGAGGGGTTGAGAAAACATTACGTTGCTGGGAAGTGGAACTGAGATAGCTCGCTGCTCCCAAACATGGACATAATTGGAGTTTTATAGCTTAGCTTGGAAATGGGAAGCTACAACAGCAACTTGCATTTATATAGCGGCCATTATGCGGAGCAGTGTCTCGGAGTGCTTAAGCAATCAATAGCAAGTGGAGGTGAGGAGGACCTGCTTAAAGATGATAGGCAACAATCCCATATAAAACCAATTATTCATTCCACGGCTCTTTGTAGGACATTGCTGTGTGAAAATGACTGCAATGTGCACCAACAAAATAGTCACTATACTATACAGAATAACCTGTGAAGCTCTTTGAACCATCCTCCTCACATGAAAGGCACTATATAAGATTATTTATTGTTATCTATTATTTGCCTATATAGTGGTCCAAACCAGATATGTGTGCTCCATCAACCTTCCCTCAGCTTTCTGAATTGGCAGATGTGTAATTTCCTCCTATTTTCACCTCCAGTCTGGACCCACCTTAAACACCAGCTGTTATTCCAAGCCCATCAAGATCTCCCAAGTCTTCAGCCGAGTGGATCGGTTTGATGGCAGGCTGGACCACACTCTGCTGACCTCCATCATTGTGACTGTGATCGGAAACTCCACCGTGGCTAACCTCGGAACATCGGATGGAAGCATTCTGCAGGTTAGTGTTTCTGGAGAGATTGTCTCCTGTTAGCAGTCCAGTCCAACAACAACAACAAAATTACATTTGTATAGCGCCTTTCACGTCGAGAGGACGTCCCAAGGTGCTGGACAGACAGCGTTACGGACCCGAGCTTGGGGGAGGGGTGGGGGAGGGTGGAGGGCAGGGGGGGGAAAACAGGGAGATCAAAAGCATGGTCGAAGAGGAGGGTCTTGAGATGGGTCTTGGAAGGTGGCAAAGGAGCGGGTGAGGCAGAGGGACTGCGGGATGGAGTTCCAGAGGATGGGGGTAGAGAGTGGCGAGTTGCTGACTGATATGAGTTGCTCCATATGTATCAGTAAGTAAGAACACAGTTGTTAGCCGATTAACGGATTGCTTTCTGAGGGTAATAATAATCCCTTAAAATAATAATTTGATTACTCAATCCATGACTGCTTGTGGGACACTGCTGTGTTAATGCGATTGATTGGCTGTTGCATTTTGCCCACAAAAATATAGTCCATTCATTTAACTGTATTTTCTGTGAAGCACTTTGACACGTCCCAACAACATGATAAGGCACTGTATCAATTGTGAGTATTATTGATCAAAGAGGTTACTGAAAATGGCGGAAAATACAGAAACATTGGAGAGAGCCTCAACCATTCAAACCAGAAGGTGGTCAGTTGAAATTTCACGCTGTGCCGCCGAGACCCTCTTCTGTGCTTCCAACACGTCCAGGCTTGACTGTGCTAACTCCTACTCGCTGGACTTCCCAACTCTTCCCCCCACAAACTGCAGCTCGTGTTTTCTTCTTCCACCAAGCTCCGTGAGCCGATTACCTCCATCCTCGCCTGGCTGTTCACTGGCTCCCCATCCCTAGAGAACTGAGTTAAAGCCCTCCATAGTCTTGCCCCTCCCTACCTTTGAGACCCGTGAAAACCTTGCCAACCTGCCTGCACCATCCACTCGGCAGGCATTGGCCTATACCATGTCCCTCGCTCTGCCAACTCCACTATTGGCAGTCGGGCTTTCAGCCTTTCTGACCCCACCCTCTGGAACTCCATCCTGCAGTCCCTTTGCCTTTTCCTTGCCTCCTTCAATGCCTGTCTCAAGACTCTTTTCTTCGACAGTGCTTTCGGTCAACCTCCAACCGCCACCCCACTTGCCCTCCACCCGTGTTGATTCCAAACTCCAGCTCAGTTGCAAACCCTCGACTGTCCACAAGTTGTTGTTGCGTTGAGTTAGCTCATCTCAGCCAAGGCAGTAAGTAGAGCTCCAATTAGCCTGAAACACCTCTGAAGTAGGGAGAATATCAGTTCAGGTTCTTAGTTCAGAGACTCCTGCTGGACAATAGGTGAGGACAGGATTGAGCTCGCTTGTGACTGAATGGAGAGCTCTTTCAGAGAGCTTGCATAGGCACAATGGGCTGAAGCTTTCTATGGTTGAATAGAATTCCCTCAGTGGAAAGTGCTGTGAATGTTGTCCCAGAGATCCGTTGCAAGAGATTTGTATCAGTTTAGTTGTTGCTTCAAAAGAGGATCTTAGGAAAGATTTGTTTTGGGAGATGTGGCAATCTGTGGTCATTGGGAGAGGACTAAGATGGTGGTTAGCTTGCAACATCACAAAGACGAGTTTTTGCCAATGAATTTAGGATATCGAAAGATGTTTTTTGGTGTGAGTCACGCACATCCCTCCCTCCTGCTGTTTTGCGTGGATTTAATGTCACCGAATAAACACAGAGCAGTGGGACAGAAGATCTCTGGATAAAGTCAGGAATGTGACCACATCATCGCTTTAATGAGACCAGGCTGTTGCATTGTATTTTAGTTCATAATAAAGTAATATCAGTTATGTAGTTTTAATGTAGCCTTGGCGGCGCCTTGGGACGTCCTCCCAATGTGAAAAGCGCTATACAAATGTAATCTTGTTGCTGTTGTTGTTGAATGGGCATGGAAGCTAAATCCCATATAATTTCACACAGGACTAGAAAGATGGTTACAGTTCAGCTGGTTTTCCCAAAGTTAAAATGAATGAATAAAAATAAAAGTAACCAACGTGGGCCATACTTCTGCCTTGGGGAATTCTAATCACCCTCACTTTCCCTGCCTTCAAAAACAACCTAAAAATATCTTTTCCACTGTGTTTATGATCAGTATTTCTTACTGTTGCTTTTCCCTGTTCCTTATGACAAGAGTTAAGAGTTTCTTTTCTACACCAAGGATGTCATCAGGCTGGCTGAGTTGGTAGCACTCAGTAAGCTGATTCTGAGTCAGAAAAGTTGAGAGTCCTACTTGTGGGTTCTTGACGGGGACTTTGAGCTCACAGTCTAGACTGACACTCCATACATCGTGGTGCTGGAGGAGGCTGCACAGTCAGAGGTGTTGCCTTCGGATGAGACATTAAAACCGAACTCCCTGTTCAGGTGGATGTTAAAGATCCCATGGCACTACTCTTAAGATAGAGGGGAGTTCCTCCCGGTGTTCTGGCCAACAATTCGCCATATAAACGTTGGTCACTCACTTCATGGCTGTTTGTGCCTACAAAGACACAGTTGCTACATTTCACAGTTAATCTTGTTTTTCATGTCTCAACAATGTGATAAAGCGCTATATCAAGTGCAAGGATTATGATTGTGTTATTATCTGAAAGATGTTTAGATTATTGGTGGCTCCNAAAAAAGATATAAACAAGCCAGTAACAACAACAACAATTTGCATTTATATAGCGACTTTCACGTCGGAAGGATGTCCCATAGTGTTGGAGAATGAGGGGTTTGCATCCGAGCTGTGGATCGGGATCAGAGAGGGGTGGAAGGCAAGGGGGGTGGAGGAGGGAAGATGACTGAAGGCTCGGTCTATAAGTATCTAGAAGGGAGATTAGGAGGAACTTCTTTAAGCTGCGGCTGATGAGAATGTGGAACTCGTTGCCAGAAGCTGTGGTTCAAGCAGAAAACATCAACACATTTAAGAGGAACTGATGGACAAATAAGAGAGAAGAGAATAAAGCAGAATGGGAAACGGAAATAAGTTTGGAGACTTGTGTGAACACAAGTATAAACACCAGACAAGTTGCCTCTGTCATTTTCCCTCACTTCCAGAATCACAAGAGAGCGTCCGATGATGGAATTTCGGCTAATTTTGTCTCATCCTTTCAGAATAAACTTTCCACACAACAACAACAACAAAATTACATTTATAGAGCGCCTTTCACATTGAGAGGATGTCCCAAGCGCTAAACAGTCAGGTGTCGGAGCCTGAGCGTGGGGGAGGGGTGTGTAGGGGTGAGGGAAGGCAGAGAGGTGGGAGGGAGACCAAAGGCACCCGTCGAAGAGAAGGGTCTTGAGACCGGCCTTGAAGGAGGCAAGGGAGGAAGCGAGGCGAAGGACTGTGGGATGGAGTTCCAGAGTGTGCTGAAAGCCTGGCCACCGATCATAGGGTGGGTCGGGCGGGAGACGTGGAGCAGGCCGGAGCCCGCTGAACAGAGGGAGCTAGTCTGTATAACAGGTCCATACTGACTTATCCGCTCCCTTCGCTCAGCGGACTCTGGCCTGCTCCACGTCCCCCTCTCTGCCCGCCCCATCATCGGCTGTCGGCCTTCAGCCTTTTTGCCCCCACCCTTGGAGCTCCATCTCACAGTCCTTTTGCCATGTCCCCTCTCTTGCCTCCTTCAAGGCCGGTCTCAAGACCCACATCTTCGACCGCGCCTTCGGTCAACCTCCTACCCTCCAACCTACCTGCCCTCCACCCCTCCTGATCTCAATCCCCAGCTGGGATGCAAATTGCTGACCATCCAGCACCTTGGGACATCTTCCCGATGTGAAAGGCGCTTTACAAATATAATTTGTTTTTGTTGTTGGGTTGAACGGCCAATTGTTTAGGCCTTTGTTTATTTCCTCAGGTCATTCATCTCTGCTGTAACACTTTATGTCATTTTGTTGTTGTTGTTGTTATGTAACTCTCTAAGTTTGGGTGGATGCTGAGCTGATTTTCCCTCTGTGCTAGTCTGCTGAGGTTTGAAAATATTCCTTGTGCTTTTCCCCCAGGTCATTCTTCAGGAGCCCTTTGTACTTCACGCCAACTTCAGCCTGAGCACAGCACACCCCGTCTCCCGGCAAGCCAGTCGTTTGGGAGATTCCTTGCTGTTTGTCACTGGAAGCAAGGTTGGAATTTAGGAATGAGGAGGACAAATGGGGTGGAGTGGGGAGACGGTGGAGAGAACCTTCTCTGTGTATATCCAGATAAACAGTGGTGCTATGTTCATAAACAAAACCACAACCACAATCAAACGGAAATAACCATCTGCAACCCCCCAGATTGCAGGTTTGATAAATCTGCACATGACTAACTCTGAACACAGAGATACCCTTTTGCCTGATGTTGAGTTACAACGACAACACCCTGCATTTATATAGCACCCCTCACGCAGGGTAGCTCAGAACGCTTGACAGTGGCGGAACATGACTCCGAGCTGAGGGGAGGGAGGAAGTGACCGTAGGAACAGTCGAGGAGGAAGGTCTTCAGGCGCAACCTGGAGATGGGGAAGGAGGGGGCAAGGCGGAAGGCAGGAGCTCAGGGCAAAGACTAGGAGGAAGATGCAAATCTCTATTGCAAACAGTTTTAAAAATCTGAACAATTTGGTATTTTCCTCTCTTCGCTTCCAGTAAGATGGTGGAATCTTGGCCCATTTGATCTCATCGTATCAGAACTGTATTCTCACCCTGAGTATTCTGAGTTGTTCCTTAAGTAGTTATAAATCTTGTATGTGATTTCATTTTGCCAAACATCTCTTAAGTGCTTCACAGGATATACTGCAAAGTGTAGTGACTATTATGTAGTTGCCAATTTGCGCTACCATGTCCCACAAACAGCCTTGAATTGAATGACTGATTTTATCCAGGCTGGCGGGACATTGTTTTAACGCCCCATCCGGAGGACATCTATAATGATGCAGGACTCCTCCAGTACTGCACAAGAGTGTCAGTCTGGAATGTGAGTTTAAAGTCCCAACTTGGGGATTGAACCCACAAACTTCTGGCTCGGAAGCGAGAGTGCTACCGACAAAGCTACACTGATACCCAAATGTCCTGTCCTCAGCAATCTTTCTCTTGTGAGCGTGTGAAAAGCCTCTGTATGTATATATAGCTAACCAGAAATCAAGCACATTCAGCCTTGTGCCATTGAGAAAAGCTGACGTAAAAAGCTCAGGAGAAGTACTGTAGTGTGCACGACATGACAGAGGGTGGTGTTGATGAATTATCTTGTGTTATTGTGCTATGCTGACCTTTGAATTGTTGTTGAATAAGCTGGGGGTGGATCTGGGGTGTGGATACATAGCAGGCAGGTATGCCTGACACACAGCAAATGGCATTGTGCCCGTTTAGAAGGAATTTGTACAATCTGCTGTCACTGGTGTCGATACTCTGTGAATGAACGGCAACTCCTTCCCTATTGTCCCTGCAGTGAGCCATCACTCAGCCGCACATGTCACATATTGCACGTGATCCAGATGTTGGATTCTGGCCATACACAATTAGCTACCCCCTATCCAGCCGCTGCACAGATTGTAGGAGACTGTCTGCTGGCTGTGGTGTGATTCCAGCAATGCTGCATCTGTAAATTCTGTATGTATTTCTCAGCACGAAGACTCTGCCCTGACAGCAGAGATTCCTCAGACCTGCAGCACAAGAAGAGCTCATATTAATGGTGAAATGTTGCTTTGGACCAATGAGAGCTCGTGACTGCCACTGTTCAGATAATAAAGAATAACACAGGCTTGAACGTATATCAACTAAGCCCTGAGATGTTAGCCTCGCTACAAGAGCCTGGGTAGCATTCTCATCTGTGAGTCAGAAGGTGCATTCAAGTGCACATCACAGTCTACACTGATGCTCCAATACAATGCTGGGAGTGTGTACAACAACAACAACAACAACAACAACAGGATTCCATTTATAGAGCGCCTTTCACGTCGGGAGGACGTCACAAGGTGCTGTACAGTTGGGTCAGGACCCGAGCAGGGGGGAAATGGTCAGGGTGAGGGGAGGGAAGGGAGGAAGCGAGGAGGGGGTAGAGAGTCGAGAGGGGAGCTGAAGGCACGGTCGAAGAGAAAGGTCTTGAGACCGACCTTGAAGGAGGAAAGGGAGGAAGCGGCGAAGGCACTGGGGGATGGAGTTCCAGAGCCTCGGGGCTGAGAGGCTGAAGGCCCGACCACCGATGGTAGGGCGGTTGGGGCGGGGGATGTGGAGGAGACCGGAGCCAGAGGAACGGAGGGTACGGGCAGGTAGGTAGGGGGTTAGTAGGTCAGAGAGGTAGGAGGGAGCGAGGCCGTGAATGGCCTTGTAGGTGAGGATGAGGATCTTGAATTTGATCCTCTGGGGGATGGGGAGCCAGTGGAGGCGAGCGAGGGTGGGAGTGATGTGGTCCCGAAGCCTGGTGCGGGACAGTACACGAGCTGCAGAGTTCTGAATGACCTGCAGCTTGTGGAGGGAGGTGCCGGGAAGGCCGGCGAGGAGAGAGTTCCCATAGTCCAGCCTTGAGGTGATAAAGGCGTGGACCAGAGTTTCAGCCGCGTGAGGGGTGAGGTAGTGCCGTAGTCTGGCGATGTTCCGGAGGTGATGGAAGGCGGTGCCAGTTGTGGCGCGGATATGAGGGAGAAAGGACAGCTCAGGGTCGAACAGAACGCCGAGGTTCCTGATGGCTTTGAGAGGTGGAGAGTGCAGCCTTGGATGCTGATGCTGTCAGCGCCTGAGGTGCGGAGGCGCTGACGTGAGCCAATCAGGAGGGCCTCAGTTTTACGCACGTTGAGCTGAAGAAAGTTATCTCTCGTCCAGGACTCGATGTCGGACAGACAGCTGTCAGGACATCGGGGGTCGTGGAGTTGAGGGTAGAGGAGGAAAGGTAGAGTTGGGTGTCATCCGCATACATGTGGAAGTTAACCCCATGTCTGCGGATAATGTCACCACAGGGGGAGCATATAGAGGGTGAAGAGGAGGGGAGCACTTCAATGATGAATGTGCCATCCTTAGGATGACATTTTAAACCCAGGTCAGGAGGATGTTAAAGAGCCCATGGTGCTATTGGAGTTTCTCCTGGCGTCTCGGCTAACAATCCCCCAAATAAAATTAGTCATTCACTTCATGGCTGTTTGAGGGATATTGCCGTGGTGCAAAATGACTGTCGTGTTCACCAACAAAATAAAGTCATTATACTTTTACAGCAAATCCTGTGAAGCCCTTGTGATACAGTCATTAAAGACTATATCACATGTAAGGGTTAATATTTTTATTATGACTATGTGTCACTGTCTAGCCACATATTCTGTTCAGAGAGCACTTGATCTGTTTGTACTAATTCTGCTGTGTGTAATCCCGGACTGTTTGTTTTTAATGCAGGTGACTCAGGTGCCAGTGATAGGGCCGGGCTGTCTGCACTTCCTGACCTGCAGTCGATGCCTGTCTGCCTCTCCCTTTCTGTGCGGCTGGTGCAATGGAGTTTGTACCCAGAAACATGAGTGTCAAATACACTGGTCACCAGACACCTGTCCGCCTGCTATTACTGAGGTAGGTTTCTAATAAACCATAAAACAAACAAGCAATAAACCACAGTGAATTTCTACCTTTGAGTGCAAACAAGCATGTTGTGTCACCACCCATGGCTAATCCTTCTGCCCCTCTCTCTAAATTCTGGAACTGTCTCCTTTTACCCCTCTGTCCCACCCGCTCGCTCTCTGTCTTTAAGTCTGGCCTCAAACCTCAAAACCTACCTCTTTGTATATGTCTATCTCCTCTCTCCACCCCCCCACCCCAGCTCTGTCTTGGTGATGCGCTCTGAAGGTCAAAGCTGCTATATAAATGAAAATTAGTATTGTATTAATATTGTAATGAGGACTAGGAACCATGCTTCTGCATGCCACAAGTTTTGGGATCCTGTGTCTAAGACAGTGCTAAGTTCCTACCCCTCGCATCTACCAGTCCTTATTGCACTTGCTCTAAAATGAAAACTCACTTTATTTCAGGTTTTTCCCAAACGTGCTCCTGTTAACGGAAGCACGGAGCTGCAGCTGTGTGGGTGGGACCTCCAGGCTCCCAACGGACCCCCGATCACAGAGAGCAGCCACATGGTGTGGGTGGGACCCCAGCCTTGCAGCGTGATCCCCGCAAAGAGCAGCCCCACAACGTGAGTGTGAACTTATCAAATGAAGAAGGGAGTTCCTGCCAAACACACTGGAGAGAAAAAAAGTGTTTCAGTCCTGGCTCCTTATCTCCCCATCTCCCTCCTCCTCCAAGATAAAACTTTACTGTATGTGACTCATGGGAATAGCTGATTGTATATTGGGTAGATCCATTGAAAATATAGAGTTTGGTATCTGAAAAACATCTGAAACGTATAAAAACATGCAGGTCTATAAAAGATCAGAACCGTCCATCCGAGCTGTTCCATTTTTAAATCTCATCTCCCTGTATCTCGCATAATAATCTTTGCATTTGAAATATCAAAACAACTCAAAAGCGCTTCACAGGATTTCCACTACAGTGTAGGGTAACGCTGCAGCCAACTTGCACAAATCAGTGTCCCACAAACTGCCATGGAGTGAGTGACCACTTTCTTTTGGGGAAGTCTCATAGGAAGGATGACACATGTAATAACATAGTGCTCTCCAGCGAAGCACTGGTGCATGAGCCTAAACCATGAGTTAAAAGTCTCAACATTTGGGCTGAACCTATAACCTTGTGACTCAGAAGCGAGAATACTACTGACTGAGCCATGCTGACACATATCTCCGAAACCTTCACCATCAAAAATATATCTATGGAGTCCTGTAGCTCAGTGGTTAGAGCACTCGCTTTGCAAGCGTGAGCACCTGGGTTCAATTCCAGGCAGGGCGAAACCTTGGGCAACTTTGCTTACTCCACACACCTAATAATAATCCCTCCAAAACAAAGCAATAATAAATTGGTCATTTTCAATCCACGACTGTTTGTGGGACACTGCTGTGTGCAATTGGCTGCTGCGTTTCGCCCACAAATATACAGTCAATTCACTTTACAGTCTATTCTGTGAAGCGCTTTGAGACGTCTAGAAGGTGTGATAAGGCGCTATATCAAATGCAAGGATCATTATTATTATTAGATATATTATTAGATATTTTATAATCCAAACCTTCGGAAACTCTTCACACCATTTCTGGGCAAACTTCCACAAGCTGGGTAAAGTAATTACATCTAGAGGACGCCCCAAGGCGCTGGACAATCAGTGATTTGGGCCCAAGCAGGGGTTGGAATCAGGAGAGATGGAGGGTACGGAGGGTAGGGGTAGGAGGGCAGTCGAAGATGAGGGTCTTGAGACGTGCCTTGAAGGAGGCAAGGGAGGGAAAAAGGCGAAGGGACTGTGGGATGGAGCTGAAAACCTGACCGCCGATGGTGGGCTGGCGGGGGCTGTGGAGCAGGCCGGAGCCCGTTGAATGGAGGGAGTGGACAGGTTGATGTAGCGTTAGCGGGTCATGGAGGTAAGGGGGAGCAAGGCCTTGGAGGGCTTTGAAGGCGAGGACAAGGATTTTGAACTCTATCCTCTGGGGTTTGGGCAGCCAGTAGAGCCGGGCGATGGTGAGGGTGATACGGTCACGGAGCCTGGTGTGGTTGAGGACATGAACTGCAGGTTTCTAACATGTTCAAATCATGAGATATTCTTTGAGTAGATGTCTCGATTGTTTCCCTCTCATTCTCACTCACACTCTCTTTCTGACTTTCTCTCTTTCTTTCTCCTGATAGATTATTTTGCAAGCTTGGACGGATGGGGAAGCCTGACTTGTTAGCTTCATCGATAATCAATGTCACCATCCGAGACAGTGAGAAGCTCGATCCGTACTCTATCCACGGATCCTCTGCCATCGCAGGCTTTCGATTTGTGGTGAGTTCCCAGAATGCTGTGACTTTCCATGCTCTGGCTTTGTTCCACTCAACAGCAGAGGAGCTCGCAGGAGCAATGCCATGATGGAGAGAGATCAGCTGAGAGCTCCAGTGAAGGAGCTTGTACAGCAGCAACAACAACAAATTGCATTTAAATAGCATCGTTTACATTGGGAGGACGTCCCAAGGCACTAGAAATGCCTTGGTGGAATCCTGTAGCGTAATGGTTTGATTCCCGGGCAGGATGAAACCTGAGGCAACTTTCCTTACTCCACATGCCTCTGTTTACCTATCCGTAAGTAGGAACCTGAATGTTAGTCGATTGGTGGATCACTTTCCAGGGTATAATGATCCATTCAAATCAATATTAATTTGGTTATTCAATCCACGACTGTTTGTGGGACACTGCTGTGGGCAATTGGCTGCTGCGTTTCGCCCACAAAATATACAGTCAATTCACTTTACAGTATATTCTGTGAAGCGCTTTGAGACTTCTCAATGATGTGATGAGGCGTTATATCAAATGCAAGGATTATTATTGTTATAGTGTCAGCCACAGCAATGGCAAAAGAGCAAGAAAGTGTGGGTTGCTTTGCGAAGGGAAGAATGGATTGTTCCAGTGGGGAATGAGCCATGCAAGGTTATTAGGTTGCGTCAGACTGAGGTACTTCCTAATTTGAGCTAAAAATCGAGGCTTACAAAAATTTTAGAGCTGCCTCAGGTTTCCAGATCACCTGGAAAATCAGATGACCTCATTTTATCTCATTTGGTTAACAATGTAAAGGAGCAATCATTCCAGATGTGAGATTGCTATTCTGTGTTACTGAGGGTGGAACCCATGGCTTTGTTGCTGTTGAGTGTCTAATATCAAATGCAACAAGAACTTGTATTCTTAGTTTCCTGCACGCAGGACAGTATCTTGGAGTCAAACAGTAGTGGAGCCTGAACCCGAGCCGCGGGGAGGGAGGAGATGACTGTAAGCATGGTTGAAGGGGAAGGTCTTCAGTCGTGGTCTAAAAGAGATGGAAGGAGGGTGTGGGAGGCTCAAGACGGAGGGAGTTCCATAGCTCTGGGGAGTAGTGGCTGAAAGCACTGCTGCTGATGGTGGAGTGTAGGGCAAGAGGGATGAGCAGGAGGCCAGAATAGAGAATATAGTTGGTTGGGTACGCACCATTCTCCTCAAATACAAACTCATTAGTTATTTCATTATCCATTGAATCGATTAATTTAGCTCCTCTCTGCTTGTGATTCAGGTGGGTGTTAAATGTCCCCCACTCCCCCCACTTATATTTAAGAAAGTGCAGTTTTTCTCCCCTTTGCCCTGGTTTATATTCCCCTTCTCATCGGAAATTCACCCTGAATCCTAATTAATTGCCTACTCATCCACCATTGTTTATGAGCGGTTGCTACGCCAGATTAGCTGCCGCTAATTTTCCTGTCTAACATTTACTTCCAATTAATCTCTCTGTAAGAGCATTTAACGAAGTTTGATCTACCTGTAAGTTGCTCTGGAAGTGTGAAAGCCGTTTATACAGCGTGTTGTTCCCCTTCCCACAGGCTCCGTCTGTTACCAGCCTGGCTCCGGCATATGGGCCCACTGCAGGGGGAACTATGATAACGTTAAGAGGAGAAGACTTCGCGGCAGGGAACCAGCGGAGGGTGATCATTGCGGGTAAAAGCTGTGAGATCTTCAGGTAGGATGGACAACCACGGCCGACAGAGTCGGACTCTGTTTTGATAAACTTCGGGTCATTCCAATACAAGTTTCCAGTTTGCTCTCAGGTCCATTTTAAAAGGACTTGGTACAAGAGATAAATGCCCCGCACATCAAGTGTTAGGTGTCAGCCTGGCTCAGTTGGTAATGCTCTCATCTCTGAGTCAGAAGTTCAAGCCACAGCTCAGGGTTTTGAACTCAGTTTAGGCTGACACTCCAGTGCTGGGACAACTCTGTATTGGCTTTTGGGTGAGATGTTAAACCGAGGCCCCATCCACTCGTTCAAGTGGATGTTAAAGATCCCGTGTCATTGTTGGAGAAGAGAAGGGAGATTCTCCCGATTTCCTGGCCAACAAACCCCCTGATAAAATTGGTCATTCACTTCATGACTGTCTGTTCGATGTTGCTGTGAGCAAATTAAGTATGGCATTCTCCTAAAAATACACAGCACCACACTTAGTAAGAATAATCCTTGCATTCGATACAGCTCCTCATCACATCTTCAAGACATCTCAAAGCGCTTCACAGAATATACTATAAAGTGAATTGACTGTATATTTTATGGGTGAAACTCGGCAGCCAATTGCGCACAGCAGTGACCCACAAACAGTCGTGGATTGAAGTGACCAAATTATTATTACTTTTTTTAAATTGTCTTTCTTTACTGAGTAGCAATTACAGTAAAAACACATTGAAATGTTTTGCCATAAGCACTCTTAACAATTGTCTGCCACATTCACCTACAAAATACACAGTTACTATACTTCACACTTGGCGATATCATAAGTTGCTAAACTAGTATTAACAATGCGATGATTATTAATAACACAATGAGTGTTACCAGTAATGTGAGCGAGATACGAGAAGATTACCTCAGTCAGAGTTAAAACACCTTTTTCTGATTGCGACTTGGTGTGTCCTCTGGTATCCTGCCCAAGATACCAGAGAGAGGGAAGGGGAGGGGGAAAGATTGTGATGGGAGAGTAGCTAAGCTGCATTCTGTATATATTTCTGTTCTAGATTTAGTGATACTTATATCGTGTGCAAGACACCTGAGGTGGTCTCCTTGATGGAGATAACGCCTGATGTGATAATAGACTCCACCACTGTTGAGTATCGCTGCAGCCATGGCTTTCGTTACCGGCCGAACCCTACCATCCAGAACATCTTCCCCAACTGCAGCATCACCAGGTAACCCCAAACACCCCCACCCATACACCCTCACACACACACACATACACATATATACACACACACAAAAATACACACATACATACACGCACACAAAAACACACACATATACACACACACATACACTCGCGGTCAAAGAGGAAGGTCTTCAGATAGAAGACAGGCAAGGAGAGAGCAAGGTGGAGGGATTGATGCAGAGAGTCGAGAGTTTCGGGGCATAGTGGCTGAAAGCACGGCTGCTGATGGTGGAGCAGAGTGGACAAGGGTCATGAAGAAAATCAGAACCAGCTTAGCGAAGGGGCCAGGTCAGAACTGCTGGGGCGTGAATTGATTTGCAAGTAAGAGTGAGGGTCTTTAAATTGATCCATTCTGCAATAGGCATCCAGTGGAGCCTGGCAAGGACAACAACAACAACAACCACAAATTAGATTTGTGTGGTACCTTTCATATCGGGAGGACGTCCCAAGGCGCTGGCAAGGACGGGTTATGGGTGTGTGGAGTTTGGTACGGGTTAGCACATGGGCAATGGAATTTTAAATCAGTCTGATATTAACAGTGGGGCATCTCTCTAATCATGAATATTTCCCTTTACAGTGGCCTCAACATCACAATAACTGGGACCAATCTGAACTCTGTGTACCAACCAAAGCTTGTCTTTACTGACAATCTGAATAACAGGTTTGAACAGGTTCGTCCAACCCAAATCCAGGTGTTTGAAGCTCGTACGTCTCAACCGATCCAGCCACACAGTGCATAACAGTGAGAATTTAAGGAGCATTGAAGTCAGGACCATTCTGGCAGGACCCCTGACTCCTAGGTAGCGCCAACACTATCCAGTTTCCCGGCCTGTGTTGTATGTTTGACCGATGACATGTGGCTTTGTTCGGATTATTTTAAGAGCAGCGTTTTTCCTCAATCTCGCCAATGGATTGCAGAGTAATGCAATATCCAAAGTCCCACAAACAGCCAGAAATTGAACAATCAATTTTTATCTGGTGGATTATTGGCGAGAACATTCATGGATGTGTACAATTTGGCTGCTATGTTCGCCTACAAAATACACAGTCACTACACTTTACAAGCAATCTTGTGGAGCACTTTGAGATGTCCTCCTGACGTAAACAGCGCTGGATCAAATGCAAGGATTGCTATATCTCATAAATTGTGCCTATGGTTCATTTCGTTCTTCATCTCTCTAATTCCCTGCTTTGCCCAGGTTTCCACGCCATCTCTGCAAAGCTCTTTGAGATATTTTCCTATGTGAAAGGATCTGTATCAGGGCAGTTGTGCTCTGAAGCATCCGAGACATTCTACGTCAAACTCTATAAATGCAATGTGTTGTTGTGTAGACTGATCAGGTTTTCTCTTCCTTGAAGGTGTGTAAGAAGCCCGTCTCTGGCCAGACAATGGTTTGCCAGAGCCCCGCAGTCCCTACAAGGCGGGTGAAAGGGCAGCTTGCTGTGGTAATGGACGGCGTGGAACAGGTGTTCACTGTGGTATACCACCCAGACTACAAGGTTTTCCCCTTCGAGCAAGCGGATAACACGCTCAAACTGGTCAGGTCTGAGGGTGAGATCGAAGTCCACGTGAGTTCATTGCCCGGTGTCTAACACGCCAGCCGCTGAGAATGAAGATTACACAGATACAGAGTGGTTTCATCCACCACAACAACAACAAATTACATTTGTTTTGCGCCTTTCACAGGAAAGCATCCCGAGTGGCTGGACAGTCAGGGATTTGGGCCCAAGCCGGGGGTCGGGATCAACATCAACAATAACGACAATATTTACTTATATAGCGCCCCTCATGCAGGATAGGGTCCCAGAGCGCATAGGATCAGGAGGGGTGGAGGGCAGTGTGGGTAGGTTCTATCAGAGCAAAGGGTGCTGTTGAGGGCGTTGGCACAGCAACATTTCAAAGGAAATCAGTTAAATATAAATATAAACTTGTTGGGGGATTGAAGTAGGGGAAAGTAGAGAGTAGCTCTTAAACTACAGGCAAGAAAAATCTGGCTCTGAGCTACCTGGCCGTACATCTCCTCGTGTTTGCTTGCAGACTGCTGTGCTTTGGGTGTAAAAGGACAATGATCTTAGAAGAACACTGAACTTAGCGCTGGTTGTGCTAATGGTGACAAATTCATGGATTTAGCCGCCCTCTCGGGGCTGAAGCTGGTATTGTCGCATTATCCTAAAGTTCACACAGAGTTGGGCATGGTTTAACACCAAGGCAAACCTCAGTGATTTTATGACCAGAACCTGACAGGAGCACATTATTTCAGTGTTACTGTTTGTTAATTGAGGTCGCCAACTCATCCTGAACTGTGCGTGTTTGTGTCACCCCGTCTCAATTAGCAGCACTCTCATCTCAGGAGGTTGCGAGTTCAATCCACTTGTTGGGACCTGACATGTTAGAATTAGTTATTCACCCCATGATTGTTCGCAGGAGCTCGTGGTAACTCCATGTCGTAATTACTCCATGCAATAATTACTGTAAAGTTGATGTTCCTGTGCTTGTGAGCTGCCGCGTTTCGTCCACAAAATATACAGACAATTCAATTTACAATATATTCTGTGAAGCCCTTTAAGACATTTCAACGACGTGATAAGACATTATATCAAATGCAGCGATTATTATTATTGGGTTTCATGCCATGGAGTGATACCTCTATCATGTTGCCTCTCAATCGTCTCAACTCTAGAGGAAACCTCCAATCTGCCTCCAATGCCTGCGAAACTTATTTCATTTGGTACTGGATGATTCATTTACTTTACTGAGGACAATCAACAACAGGTCTCCACCGCTCTTTCTGCCCCTAGTCATGGTAGAGATCTGCTACCAGCTGTTGACTGTTCTCAGTAAAGTAAATGAACCACCTCGTCCCAACTGTCCTGTAGCCTATTAGTTAGAGCACTCGCCTTGCAAGCAACAGGACCCGGATTCAATTCCCGGGCAGGGCCCCTCTGTTTAACTAACAGTAAGTAGGAACCCAGTCGTTAGTCCAGGTGGAATGCTTTCTTAGGGCAATAATCCCTTCCAAAAGAAAATAATAATAAGAATAATAATTTGATCACTCCATCCACACCTGTACATGAGACACTGCTGCGTCTCACCCACAAAATATACTGACAATTCAATTTACAGTCAATTCACTTTATTCTGTGAGGGGCTTTGAGACATCTCAATTTCATGATAAGGGGCTATGTTAAATGCAATTATCATTATTATTAACTGAACGTTCATTCTCATTTTCATTCATGTCCTGAACCCAGTTAGAACATATTTAAGTAATGGCTTGGTACGGTAATGGAAAGATAGTGGGGAGAAGGTTTCTGGAAGGATGAGATCAAGTGGCTTGTGATTGATGTTGCAAAAGCTGAATAAAATGTTGTGAGCTTGTTTCCCAGAGTCCTTTAATATTGTTTCTTTCTTTGCGCTGAGGCAGCATGAGATGTTGTACCCACTGAGGAAATGTCTGAACGTGACTCTGACTGTGGGAGATGTGGACTGCAACGCCAAGATACTGGACAACGAAGTCACCTGCAGGATCCCCCCTGGCTTGAACATCCCCAGCGATGGCCTCATAGTCAAGGTCTGTGAACACAACAGCCTGACAGCAGTCACTGATTATCGTCTCACACAGAATAGTGCTGTATTGGTGTCTGTTACACTCACACAGATTAGTGCTGTGTTGGTGTCTGTCACACTCACACAGTGCTGTATTGGTGTCTGTTACACTCGCACAGAAGAGTGATGTGTTGGTCACTGTCACACTAACACAGAGAAATGATGTGTTGGGGTAATTACAATCACACAGATCTAACGTCCTCAGGCAGCCCAGCCTCAGGCTCACTGCCTCTCACTTCGACCGTCTGTCTGCACAGTCGGGCCCAGTCCTCTCCCATCTGGTTAAATCTGTACTGATGTGAAATGTCGCCTCTGTTCCTCTGACCCTCCTTGTTCCTTTTCTCCAGCTGTGGGTCAATGATCTGGAGCATCACATTGGGCTGGTTGTCTTAGACGTCCACAGCCCCGTCCTGGGGATTGTAATGGGCTCCATCGTCATTGTGCTCATTGGGTCTCTCCTGGTTGTGGTGGTTGTGACCTGCAAGAGAAAGAGTAAAGGTCAGTGTCCCAGCAGTCTACTGCGTTTGTGGGGGTGGGAGATGGGGAGTTGGGGGAGAGGAACACCTTACAGCTAGCATATTAGTATTAAAGCCCTTATAACATGGGTTCACTCAAAGCACAAGTTGGGGTGACATTTACTTGTCCCAAGTAGCCAAAATGAGTGCATGCACTGGCTCTATCGTCTACAGTTGCATTATGTCTGCACAATTCCATCTCTTCTTAATGATTGCTATAACAACCTGCATTTGTTCCACTTCTGTGACATAAAATGTTCCCGAAGTGCTTTGTACAGATGTAATCGGAAATAAAAGGAAATGTTATTATGCAGGCAAATGGTATTATAACTATTACATTAATATATAATCGGACATTATTCCTGTCCATGCTTCGATTTGCAGAGCACGCTGCCCTGGTCAGACGCTTGGAAGCTATGGCCCAGCCGTCACCTTTGCCGCTACATCCCTTGGTGACTCCCACCTCCTTCGATTACCGGACGGCTGGTAAGCTCTGCTCGCAGATTCGCTTCCCATCCTGTGAGCTAGGCTTAACGTTTCCATTTCGTGGCACAGATCACAAGAACAGGGAGTTGGTGCTAAATACGTACAAAATGTTGCTTAGGCTGCAGTGAGAGCGTTGCATCCAGCTTGGGCCATCCCATTATTGTGAGGACTTCATCACCGTGGAGAGAGTAGAGCAGATGTTGACTATGCTGGGGCTGATGGCAGCACAGTCCAGCCTGGCTCATTGCAGGACTTGGAAGGCCAGATCAGTCGCTTGGGCAGGGAGTACTCCCACTTAGCTGCTGTTAACACTGCAAACCAAAACCCTAACGGGTTTCAGCGGCCTGGGACATCTTCCCGACATGAAAGGCGCTATACAAATATAATTTGTTGTTGGTCCTAGCTGGACTAGCAGCGGGAAAGTTTGCCAGACAGTAATATCTCTGGCCAGGTATGCAGTTTTAGATGGTTAGATTCCAGCAGTTACTCCAACGCACACTCTGGGGTTTCCAGTCCTTGCCAACCTGCGCCTAATACTGTTTGGTAATCAGGATGTGTCTCTCCAGGGAGAGAGTGCGCATTCCATTCCAACAATCTATCTCTGTGTAGGTGAACTGCGTGGAATTCTCAGTTTGATTTGGATACTCTTAAGCCCGCTGATGAATTTCCGCATGTGTCAGACACCCGGCTGACCAAAAAAAACAAATTGCTAGGAATGAAACGTTATGTGGAGACTTGAAAGGTTGGGGCCTCATAGCACTCCATAGCCAGCCTACACTGTGAGCTTAAAGAACCAACAAGGGGCGTAAACCAACAACCCTCTGGCTTAGAGGCGACAGTGCTATCGACTATGACAGGCTGAAACCTCAAGGTTAATGTGTGTGGGGGGACAGGGTGCATCAAGAAACCATACCTCAGAGAAGATAACGGGTTGAGTTTGTTTTCTTGTTTGACAGAATTTGTTTTCACCCCCACGATGGACTCAGACGGAACGATGTTCAACGGCCCTAGTTGCAGCGGGAGTGTGGATGCTTCAAACCTCCCGCTGCTAAGTCCCATGACTATATTACCCCAGACACTACAGCCAGAGCTGCTGGAGGAAGTTAAAGATATTCTAATTCCTCAGGAAGACCTGATCGTACACTGGAAACGGGTCATTGGCAGAGGTTAGTGACCAGGATCTTGCTTTAACATCTCATCCAAAGGATAACACCTCTAATAATACAACACTTCCCCCCCCCCAGCACTGCACAGGAGTGTCAGCCTAGATTGAGCTCAAAGTCCCAACTTGAACCACAACCTCAGAATAAAAGACCAGAGTGCTACCAACTTAGCCAGGCTAACATTTGGCCTTTTATCAACCTCTGCTTCCCCCCTCCCCCTCCAGCCACACACAATCACAGCCATACACACAGCCCCCTTCACACACACACAGACAACCACACACACACACATGGGCACAGCTACACACGCACACGGGCACACAGACCTCCAAACACACATCCACACACACACACAGCCACACACACACGTACACAAGCCCACATATGCACACAGCCACTCACAAACACACAGGCATGCACGCAGCCACCCACACACAAACAGCCACACGCATGCACACAGCCACATGTTCTGCCTTACCCCACCCTCACAACATCGCCCGGCTCCATCACTGCCTCACCCCTCAGGCCGCCAAGACCTTCATCCATGCATTTGTTATACCTAGGTTCAACTATGCCAACTCTCTGCTTGTCAGCCTTCCCAACTCTTTCAGAACTCTGCAGCTCGTGTCCTCTCCCGCACCAGGCTCTGTGATCCTATCACCTCCATCCTCGCCCGGCTCCACTGGCTCCCCATCCTCCAGAGTATAGAGTTCAAAATCTTCATCCTCACCTTCAAAGTCCTCCATAGCCTTGCTCCTTTCTAACTCTGTGACCTGCTAACTCCATATCAACCTACCCGCTCCCTCCACTCATTCCCCCCTTTGGAACATCATCCCACAGTCCCTTCACCTTGCTCCCTCCCTTGCTTCCTTCAAGACCCTCCCCTTCAACTTTCTCTTTGGCAGACCCTAACCTACTTCTACCCTCCCTGGCCTCCACCCCTCACGATTCCAAACCCTACTCGGGTCCAAATCCCTGACTGACCAGCACCTTGGGATTTGTTGTTGCTTGGTGGCTCCAAAACCAAATATAAAGTGGGCCACTGAAATGCCATCTTATGGTGCCAGGTGGTGGTAATGTTGAGGTGTCTCCTTCCTTCACAGGGCACTTTGGCTGTGTTTACCACGGGACCCATCTGGACCAGAACAGGAGGGAGGTCCATTGTGCTGTAAAGTCCTTGAACCGTAAGTACATGGGTCCTGGAATTGGTTAGATCGTTGGATTTTGTGATGTTTGTCCAATTTTTATCTTGGTAAAAAAAATTAAAGGGTGAAGGATCACAGTGCAGGTGCAGGACAGACTTTCCCTTAGTTCCTAAAAATAACCAGAATGTTTACCAGTTCTTTGCAACCTTAAATTGTTACTTCTTCCTCCACTACACCAATCCCTGCAACAGTAGTCATTAAGATCTGCTTCTCCATTCTGAATATTCTGTAGGTTCACAGGATATGAGAGAGGGGAATAGGAGAAGTGGAGGCTTGTTTGGAATATAAGTACTGATATGGACAGGTTGGGCCAAATGGCCTGTTTATGCCCATTTATTTTCTGCAATTCCTCAACTTGGGTTCCGAATTCCAGCAATCAATCCATGTGTCATCTGTAACCAGTGCCAGAATGGTCTGACTGTAATCTAGTGCTAAGCTCCACACTAGGCTCTGCGAGCCGATCACTCCCATTCTTGCCCAGCTTCACTGGCTCCCCATACCCAGAGGATTGAGTTTATTATCCTTGTCCTCACTTTTAAAGGCCTCCATGGTCTTGCTCCACCCTACCTCTGTGACCTGCTAAACCATACCGACCTGTGCACTGCCTCCACTCTGCAGACTGGCCTGCTCAACATCCCCCACTCTGCTGCTCCACCATCTTAGGTCGGGCTTTCAGCCTTTCTGCACCCACCCCCTGGAACTCCATCATAGAGCCCTACCCCTCGTACCCTCCCTTGCCTCCTTCAAGACCCATCTCAAGACCTTCATTTTCGACTGCGCCTTTGGCAGTGTTCCCACCACCACTATCCCTCTTGATTACAGACCACATGTCCAGCGCAAACCCTTGACTTTCCAGCACGTTGGGATGTCCTCCCGACGTGAAAGGCGCTGCATAAATGCAATTTGTTGTTGTTGGTATTGACCGGATCTAAACCGGGTGTTAATGATTTTTGTTTTTGGCTGTTGAATAGGGATTTCGGAAGTGGAAGAGGTGGAGCAGTTTTTGAAGGAAGGCATCATTATGAAGGATTTCAACCACGTCAACGTCCTTTCCCTGATGGGAATTTTCCTTCCCAAGGCAGGGCTGCCTTTGGTAGTTTTGCCATATATGAAGCATGGAGACCTCCGTCACTTTATTCGGAGGGACAACAGAGTAAGATATTTACCGGCTGACATAATATCACCCTACCCTCTGACTCTTGTGTCTGTGTGAGTCTCCAGGTGGATAATGGGATGAAAGACATTTCTCTCTCTCTCTCTCTCTCTGTCTGTCTCTGTAGAGCTAATGCAGGTGGATTCTGCCCTGTTGTCATTGGACATGGACGCACAATTCGCCAATAATCCATCAATATGTTGATGCTGGTCCCTCTACTGTGTGTGTGTGTGTGTGTGTGTGCGCGCGCGTGTGTGTGAGACTATGGGATAGGGAGACGAAAGAGTTAATATTCTGGTGCGATGAGATTAAAATGATCTCTTGTGAGAAGGATTTGTATTGCAAATAAAACAAACTTTTGTTGACGAATAGAAACATGATGTTGCTGATGAGAATAACTCCTAAGTGGAGTTTTGGTTTTGTAACGTGTGTTTGTTTCTCTTCTTACACAGAATCCAACAGTGAAAGATTTAATAGGCTTTGGCCTACAGGTTGCCCGGGGGATGGAATACCTGGCCCTCAGGAAGTTTGTTCATCGGGATCTCGCAGCAAGAAACTGCATGTGAGTGTTGCTCAGAGCCATAGGAGGACTGGTTATTCCTGAAAATGGGAAATTTCCCGAGTTCCTCGTGAATTTCTTACTATGAAGAAGCCTTCTCCTACCACCCCCAGCACTGCACTGGAGTGTAGTCTGGATTTTGGAATGGTGAACTAGGCTGTAAGCAGCGAATTGTTACGATGTGGAATGCACTGCATTGGTGGTGGAAGCAGATTCAGTAATAACTTTCGAAAGAGAATTGGATATATACTTAAAAAGAAAACATTCGCAACACTATGGAGAAAAGAGCGGGGGAGTGGGACTAATTTATAGCTCTTTCAAAGAGCCGGCACAGGCACCATGGCCTGATTTGCCTCCTTCTGTGCTGTAGGAGGGATTCTATAAGTTCCAGGTTTGCTTTTAAACTCGTAGATTTTTACACTTTTCAACCCCTCATGATTAACCCCCAACTATTTTACTTGACAATCCCAAGCCCTTTCCGGGAGCCAGTGTCACTGCAGAACAAAATCTACACTCACAATCCAGTGCAGCGCTAGGGTGTACTAGTTGGTCAAAGATGTCTTCCTTCGGATCAGATGTCAAACCAAGGCCCCTGTTCTGCCGTCTGCCTCTTCAGGTGGATGTCAAAGAAGGGAGTTTCTCCCGATATCCAGACCAACAATCCCCAGAATTATATATTTTATTCCAGGGATTTTATTGCAGTGTTTGTATCTGATGTTAGAAGTAGGTACCGATGCTGAGAATGCTCAATAATAATAATAACAATAATCTCGATGTGTCTGCTTTAGCAGGCAAAGGGTATATTCTGTGAGTGGAATGCGGTCGCCAATTGCGCACAGCAGTGTCCCACAAACAGTCATGAATTGATTGATCAAGTTATTATTTTTTTGGGGGTGGTTGCTTCTTCCAACCAGTGAGTTTGTAAGTGCTATAAGTTCCTGTTTGTGCAGTGAGTGCATGCTGATATCCACGGTCTGATTTCTCTCGTTGCTTTAGGCTGGATGAGTCCTATGTAGTCAAGGTGGCCGATTTCGGAATGGCAAGAGATGTGTTTGACAAGGAGTATTACAGCATCCAGGACCACAAGAAAGCCAAGCTCCCTGTCAAATGGATGGCAATTGAAAGCCTTCAAACCCAAAAGTTTACAACAAAATCCGATGTGGTAAGCGACTAAATAAAAACAATAATCCTTGCATTTGCTATAGTGCCTTATCACGTATTCGAGATGTCCCAAAGCGCTTCACAGAATATACTGCAAAGTGAACTGACTGTGTATCTTGTGGGCGAAATGCGGCAGCCAATTGCGCACAGCAGCATCCCACAAACAGTCATGGATTGAGTGACAAAATTGTTATAATTTTTTCTGTTGGGATTATTACCCACGGAAAAGAGATCCGTCAACTAACAACTGGATTCCTACTTACTGCTAGGTAAACAGATGCAGACATCTGTCTTATTCTCCATTAATTTAGTGTCAGCCTGACTCAGTTGATTGGTAGCACTCTTCCCTTTGAGTTAGAAGGTTGTAAGGTCAAGCCCCATGTCAGGGTTTGGAATCGCACAGTCTAAGCTGACACTCCAATGCAGTGCTGAGGGTGTGTTGCATTGTTGAAGGTGCCGTCCTTCGGATGAGACATTAAACCGAACCCCCTTTCTGCCTGTTCAGGTGGATGTTAAAGATCCTATGGGACTATTCAAAAAGTTTCTCCCAGTGTCCTGGCCAACAGTTCCCCAGAAAAAAATGGTCACTCACTTGGTCATTTTGTGAGATGTTGCTGTGTACAAATTAAGTGTGTTCCCCTAAGGTGTTCCATCACCTCAGAAACATCGGTCTTGTTTGTTTTTTATCTCATTCCTTTCTGTATAGTATCACTCTGTATAATGTATAATGCAGATTATTGATGCACTTTCATATCTTTAGTGGTCCTTTGGGGTGCTGCTTTGGGAGCTGTTGACTCGAGGGGCTCCTCCATATCCAGAGGTGGATCCTTACGATATCACAAGATACTTGATGAAGGGGAGACGTTTACCACAACCAGAGTACTGCCCTGACCACCTGTGAGTAGCCTGAACCACCTTTCCTGCTGACCTGTTCCAGTTGTTAATTACACTCCAGTTAAAGAAAATCTTCCTGGTGTCTGTCCTGAAATTGCCCTTAGCGGTGACGGTTGAGGGTGACCTGTTGTTTTTTGCAGATACACCATCATGCTGCAGTGCTGGGATCCCAAACTGGAGCTACGACCCTCCTTCACTGAGCTGATCTACAGGATTGAAGAGATTCAGTCTACGTTACAAGGGGAACATTACATCAGCCTCAAAGTGAACTATGTGAATTTGGACTTTGCCCAGCCTTATCCCGTGATGGAGACGTCGTCTGACGATGAACTGGAGGAGAATTCTGATTGAGCTGGTCTCCCCGTCCACCTCCCAACAGCAGCTCCTCCGAGTACAGAGTTGAACTTCACGTGGCTGTCGGCTTTCAAATGGGGAGCAGATTAAGTAAATGAACGTGCGGCACAAAGTTTCCGCTGGCTGAGCGCTGTGAGATAAGGATTGGAAGTCATTCTCTGAACAAAGTTGTTCATTTTTCTCTCAGAGGAAAAACCCAAAGGATTGCACAGGCCTGGAACAGGCCATCACAGTTTAGAATTAAAGCTGTGGGACAGTGCTGTGCGCAAATTGGCTGCTGCGTTCATCTACATATTAGCGCAAAGTCACTACATGAACAGTAATCCTGTGAAGTGCTTTGCGATGTGAAAGGAGCGATACCAAACGTAAGGAATATTATCATGAAATAGAAGCGATTCGGTCTGTGTTACAAGGGGAGTTTTACATCACTCTTTAAGTTAACCAACTCTCACTCTGTCTCTCAAACTCCTTAAGTTGATTTCTTTGCTGATGAGCTATTTAATTCAATCTTGTTCTTCTCCCTCACCCGAAATCTGCTGCTTAAGACCTCCTCCTGCCTGTCTTTGACGTTTGGAATCTGCGTAAAATGTTCACTCAGGACTGACTATTAACAAATGGCAGAGCGGAGTTCGTAAGCACTGGAGGAGAATCAAAAGTAGGACTTGACCGGCTGGATATGAACTGAGTGACATTCACGATGATCACTGAGGTGGATTTCAACCAGCAGCCGGATGGCTGGTCAGTGTTGCACGGTACAATGTCTTTGCCCATGTGGACCTTAGGGGAAGCTGCTCCTTATGTGCATACGGTTCTCTTTGCAATCAGGGTCTCACTCTTAATACTTCCTAGGTACTCGCACCTCCTCTGTTGGTATCGTCCACTTCCTCCTCCTGACTTAGGGGATGAGCCTCCTAAGTTCGGTAACATTGCCAGCTCACCATCGAAGGAATCATACATGTGAGTCTCGCACTATACTGTGCTGAGGAGACTGAGGAGTTTCAGGAACAGATGAGATGCCACCGTGCATGAAGGGCTCCAATATAAATGCATGTTGTTGTTGTTGTCACTACTGCTGACATCAGTAGTCTCCAAAATGGTTTTTCCTCCGGCCCCCGCACTGTCTCGTGCGGTGTCCCTCAAGGCTCTGTGCTCGGTCCCCTCCTCTTCACCCTCTATATGCTCCCCCTGTGGTGACATCATCCGCAGACATGGGGTTAACTTCCACATGTATGCGGATGACACCCAACTCTACCTTTCCTCCTCTACCCTCAACTCCACGACCCCCGATGTCCTGACAGCTGCCTGTCCGACATCGAGTCCTGGACGAGAGGTAACTTTCTCCAGCTCAACGTGCGTAAAACTGAGGCCCTCCTGATTGGCTCACGTCAGCGCCTCCGCACCTCAGGCGCTGACAGCATCAGCATCCAAGGCTGCACTCTCCACCTCTCAAAGCCATCAGGAACCTCGGGGTTCTGTTCGACCCTGAGCTGTCTCAAGACCTTTCTCTTTGACCATGCCTTCAGCTCCCCTCTCGACTCTCTACCCCCTCCTCGCTCCCTCCCTTCCCTCCCCTCACCTTGACCATTTCCCCTTTGCTCGGGTCCTGACCCAACTGTACAGCGCCTTGGGACATCCTCCCAACGTGAAAGGCGCTCAATGAATGGAATCTTGTTATTGTTGTTGTTGCTGAGAGTGGAACTTTGACTCCAGCAGTGGAGAAACCTGGAGCAAGAACACAGCTCACAAGGAGGCCAACGGGATTCAGTGCAAGGGGAACAGTGCGATTAGGCCTGAGATGGTCCTGAATGTTTTTGGTTATGTGTTGCCGCATGCTTTGCTAGCCTATTGCTGCGTTGCTGCACATTTGGCGCAGATTTGGTGTTGGATTGCTGCATACATGGCAGTGCTGTGGTGAGCATGGATCCATGAACTTTCATGAGCCTCTCCCTCTCTCTCTCTTGTCCTGTGGCCTGGGTGTATATTTTGTGTTCAGCCCACAGCTCAGGCTGAGAAGAAAGACAACCTAGACCTGTACTGCACAATGTCTCTCTCTTTCAGGATTCATTGAAATTCGTCAATGAGAAGCTCAGAGCTGCACTGTGGGCTTACAGAGGATATCTGGGGAGTAATTTGCCCCAAGTTAGGACTTTCTAACTTAACCTTGACTCAGGAACTGGCCAGTTGGAGTGCATGGGCAGAGGTTGACCTATTTGCACTCTTAAACTTGGATCAGAATTGCGCTTGGAACCTCTTTCCTTTGAAGCCACGAAAGGAACACACCACAATTTACATTTAAGTATCGCCATTCACATCGGGAGGACGCCTCAAAGCACTTCACACACCCGACAGAATTTATGAATAAAACCACACTACCTACTGAAATCTATCACAGTGTGAGCCTTGCTGTAATATTTATTTTTGTACAGAGTTATTATTTAAAAACAAATTATATTTTAAAAAATTGTGAAAGTGGTTTGGAAGAAATTATTTATTTCCCTTTTTTCTGGGTCTTAAAAAAAATTAACTCTTTTTAAACTCTCTCATTTTTGTGTATATAACTGGCTGTGTCAGTGCCTAAATGTGAAATAGTGCCCGAGTTCTATGACATGGTATTTCACAATCTGCTGATAATTCTCTTTGCTTTCGTTATAGCTTTTTGGGGTCAATGGCCTGTGAGTAAATGGGCCCAAGATGACCGTTGATCTCTCTGTTTGCTGATGTGGCTAGAATTCTGAAGGATTCCCTCTTTTACCTCATAGGAACGGGGGGAGGGAGCATGTCCTGGATTTGTATCCATGTGTTAAAACAGGTCAGATTGAGCTGCATGTAGACAACAGTGCAGATTTATACAAAGCCTTTCACGTCAGGACGATGTCACAACATCTGATTAGACAGCCAGCATGGGGGAAGGAGCTGAGGAGAGGTGGGGGGGGGGGCGACGGGCTGGGGTTTTAGGAGGAAGAGAAAAATGAACAAAACAATAGGTCTTCAGTCAGCAGGTTTAGAGGTGGGGAGGAAGGGGTGGAGAGACTCCATTGGGATAGAATGAAAGCTCGCCTGTCGATGGTGGGATGGATCAGGTGGGGGACGTGAGGCTGGTGCTCTCTGAGCACAGCGAGTGGCCAGGGTGTTAAGAGTCGCAGAGATAGGGTGAGGCGATGCCGTGGAGGGATTTGAATACAAATTTTTTTCAAAAGTTTGCTTTGGTTTGAATCAAAATTGTTCTGAACCGGCCACCCCTGTGACCAGCTCTGCATCGCCTTTCTCAGGAGAATCAGATCTGTTTATTTCTTCCCTGCGATTCTGAGCTGTGGACATGTGGAATGTTCTGCTCCGAGCCAATGGCAGGAGTTAATATTGGAATTATTCCACTAGTGTTTCCCCCCCACCACCCCCAACGCCTCCTTTTTAAGAAAACATTTGAGTGTGGCTTGGTTTCCCCCCCATCCCCTATGGCATTATGACTGGGAGCCGATCAGTGCTGTTGTTGTCTCTCCTGCCCTCGGTTACTGGGGCCAATGACCATCACCATGAGAAGCCGCCCGGTTAACTCTCCGATGACAAATGCTCACCACTGCCCCCACAGATTACATTAGGTGCATGAGAGGTTCCCTGTACACTGCCTCATCATTGTGAACCTGGGGCACAGGTTATATTAAAGATATTGAAGATGATTGGTAAATGGTAAATTTGAGGACAGTCACCAGGAAGGTTTTGTTTGCCCAGAGGGTAATTAACAACTGGAACAGGTTATGAGGAAAGGCAGTTGGCGTAGGAGGATGGTGGGAGGGGGAGGTACTGAAAGGATGAGATCAAATGGGACAAAAGGCTTTCTTCATCCAAATATCTTGTGTGCTCGTCTAAGTATCATAGATGGTCATGGTAGACTTGGCTTCGGTTAATTTTCCATTTCAAAGGCTTGATGATAGAGGGAGGCGAGTTTTCTCGAGACGCCACGGTTTGAGGTATTGACTAATGCGTCGAGCTCACAGTGTTGGTGAATTGTGTTCCATCTTTCTAGAGATTGTCTGTAGAGACTTTGCACCACTGGGCTCCAGCGCTCTTTGTGACTTGAAAGAAAACTATTAATGTGTGTAATTAGGTGATTGTAATTTTTTAAAAAAAAAGTGTAATCTGAAAATAAAGATATGTTTTATATTTAAAACAAATCTCCGTCAGAGACTTTGTTCGAACTGATCTATTTTCACAGTGAGGCGATGTCACAGCATCCTGAACATTGCTACGATTACACAACGATCTGATCATACTTCAATCAGTCCTCAATATAAACGGAGCACTGCTGATGATAGCACAGCCAGCCTGGCTCATTGGCAGGACTGCAAGGCCAGACTAGTCACTGGAGGTAGGGAATCCACCCACTGTGCTCCTCCGAACTCTCTAACCAAAGCCTGAACGGGTAGGGTGTTCCTGGCTCGACAAGCAACGGGGAAGCTTGCCAGACCCCAATATTAATGGCAAGCTATATGGTTTTACCTGGTTAGACTTCAGCAATTACCCCAACTCACACTCTGGGATCCCCAAGCCTTGCATGTCAGACACCTGGCTGACCCCCAAAAATCAATATAAACAAAAAGGGTTTTAAATGTTTTGGGGTCAAATGGATGCTGTGGGGAAACTCCTCAATTTCCATTAGCGCTTACGGAATCTTCCCCGATCTCTGCACATCTCAACGCCAGCCCCAAACTTCAGAAACTTGAAATGAGTTTGATTGACATAAAATGTTCAATGGGGAAACATGAAAACACTCAAGGGGATTAATTAGCATGTGATTATATCCCAGGGCTCGGCTGCTGGCATTAACTGCTGCTTTCAGTCAGTACAGGGAATTGATGTTATTGTTTGGAGTTCGGGTGGTTGCCTCTTTGCTCTCAAACTTTCAGTAGCGATGAAGCCAGCTCTGGGGTTTTTTTTAGACGTTATTTCCTTAGGAAAATGGGACACCAGAGAACGGATCAAAATTCAACCGGAGTTGCAAACCGGAATCCAGTAAGTAAAAGCATATGGACATAAATATTGATCAATACAGATTTGCATCCTGTCAGACACCACAATGCCAGCAGGCAATGTGAGGACCAGCTGTGAGCACTGTCTGATCACCAGACAGCCTGTCTGCTGTAAATTATAGGAACAAGAGAAACTATTTTGCCCACAAAATATACAGTCAATTCACTTTAAAGTATATTCTGTGAAGCACTTTGAAATGTCTCAAAGATGTGATAAGGTGCTGTATCAAATGCAAGGATTATTAATATTTTTTATTATTATGAAATTTGAAATGAATTCCTCCCAGTGTCCTGGCCAACAATCGGCAGATAAGATCAGTCATTCACTTCATCACTGTTTGTGGGATATTCATGTGTGCAATTTGCCTACAATTTTAAGGGGTC